AGTATGCCGCCGTGGGGTGTTTCTAATGTCCCGTAGCACCAAATTCAATGCATTGGGCCATCTCAGGCCTGTACATTTACAGGTTTTTGCTATCCTGTCTTTTAATGTTCCATTCATTCTTTCCACCTGGCCTGAGCATTGTGGATGGTATGGGGTATTTACGTTTCTCTCTGTGCCTAAGGATCTCTACAATTGGCCTGTTACATTTGCTGTAAAGTGGCTGCCCCTATCTGACTCTATTGATTTGGGGACTCCATACCTTGGTATTATTTCTTTCAATAAAGCTTTTACTAGTCCCCTCACATCTGCCCTCTATGTCGGGAATGCTTTTACCCATCCAGATAATTGGTCCACTATAACTAAAAGATGTTTATATCCATTTGCTGGGGGCATGTCAGCATAATCTATCTGAGTCTTTGGAAGGGGAAATATGCCCAAGGCTGCCCTCCAGGCTCTTTATGAGGCCGAGTGTCTGAGAATTTTAGACATGTTGGGCAGCTGCTAACAACTCTCTTTGCTGCTCCATAAATTCCTGGAGCCCACCATTGTTTCATATTTGTTCTGCTATGGCCTCTGCTCATTCGTGGGTTTTGTCATGGAATCATCTGGCCACTGTGTTGCTTTATTTCTTTGGTAAGATCAGTTTTCCCCAAGTTGTCCAAATCCCACTTTCTTCTTGTTTAGCTTCCCATTTTTCCCATCTCTCTTCCTTTAAGCAGTCTTTTTTCATACACTGCTTTTGGATCGGTAAGATCCGGCCATTTATTCTGGTTCTGTGTGGGTATTGCAGCCATACATGCCTTCCAGGGCTGTAACGCAGCGGCTTTCGTGGCAACGTCGGCTACTTCATTACCCTGGCTGATCTCTGTTTTTAGTTTAGAATGAGCAGGGCAATGCATTATGGCAATTTCTCTAGGTGGTTGGAGTGCTTCCATCAGGTCTTGTATTTCCTTCCCATTTGCCACTCTTCTTCCCAATGATGTTAGGAAGCCTTGTTCTTTGCACAGCATTCCAGTAGCACGGCACACTCTAAAGGCGTATCGTGAATCAGTATAAACGTTAACTTGCTTTCTTTTCCCTAGGTGTGCTGCACGCATTAGTGCCACTAATTCTGCTCCTTGTGCAGTTGTTCTTGCCGAGAGTGGTTCCGCTTCTCTTACCCATTTTTGGCTGACTATGGCGTATCTGGTGTGCCTTCGACCACCTTGATAATAGGATGAGCCATCCACAAATAGAATTAGATCAGGGTTTGATATCGGTTCATCTGTTAAGTCTATTGGAGGTTTATTTACAACGTGGATTGCTTGCTCACACTGACGGTGTTCCTCTATGTCATCTGGCAGAGGTATTAAGAGTTGCTGGATTCAGTGCTTTACTTGAATCCCCCTTAAAATATTTCTGGGCGGGACTTGAACCCCCTGAATTCTGTCCTTTTCCCTATATTGAATTTAGGGGATTTAACGCTCACCACTCTAACGATTGGGTGCCTCCTGTGTCCAAAATCCTCGGGTGAACTCACCCTGTGCCGGCAGTCGGAGGTTTGGATCCGAGAGGTTCTGCGGGCGACCTAGGGTACCATCTGGGTCGCCAAACTGTTAAGGCAGAAGCCGCTGGCCGAGCATTCACACACCGGTGAAGGAGTCCCACAGAGACCACCCGAGACTTCACCTGCTCGGAGCGGAGCCCCTTCCCAGCAGGCGACTCCGGCGAGCCGACGGGTGCCCTTTCCCACTCCTCACACACGCACGCTCACCCTCGGGATCGACCCTGGGTTCCCCACAGCAGAACCTCTCATCAAGGCCTTCAAAATAAAAAGGTAATTTGTTCCATCCGTGGTGTGCAAATCTAGACAGCTCGAGCAGGGTGCCTCCAGAGAGGGACCCCAAACACCAAAATCCCTGGGAAATTACGCCCTTACAACCTGAGTTCCCGTCCCTCGCGCCATAGTCTGGTCCAGCAGTAATCTGGGGGTCTGGGGTGGTCTGCCCTCTCCTCGGGTCCTTTTTCTCCTCTCCAGGTGGGTTCTTTCTCTTTCCCGTTTTTAGGCCAGTGGTTACTATGTCTCTTTTCCTGGCTCCAGCTGGCTCCGGGGCTTTCCAAATCTCACTCCTCCTCCAGTCGGAGAATAGGTCAACGTGAAGCAAAAGCATTAAGCAAGCTAGGAGTTCTGCTTTATCATGAACGACTAGTTTTAAAAACCCTTAAAGCCCTCCAAAACATATTAACAGTCTCTGTAATATATATGCCTTCCTGTGCTGTTAAAGCCTCACAATCTTTTCCCATTGTTGCCATGTGCTGTTTACATCTCGCTCGGGTGTGCTCCACCTGCTCGTGTAGCTCAGCTTTGCCACCTTCCACAACGATGGTTAGCATATTTTAGTATTGGGTCTTTTTCTTTAAAAAACCCATACCAATCAGAATTTCAGTCCGTGCTGAAGGTTCCCTTACCATCTTGAAGAGCTGGGGAGTGTAAAACCCGTATTTTGCACTTGAGAGAAGCACACAATACAGTATTCAGTTCCTGGAAGTTTAGGAAGATCCTTAAAGAACTTTGTGTCCTCATTTCCTTCTCTTCTCAGAGGGTATTTGGTTATCTATACTTTACGTGGCTGAACTTTTGAAGAAGATGGTTGCTATCGTGTAAAAGCTCTGTGTTGTTTGACCACCTCAAGCAGGGCTGGCTTTGGCTCACTTGGGGCATAATCCTGACGCAGTCGCTGCAGCCGTGGGAGTAGGTGCACCATCCCCTCCTGTCATGAACCTCGTTTGTATGCTGACCACACTTGGAGTGGAAGGGGGATCTGGCCAGCAAACACCGTGCTGTCACTTAGAAATGGATGGGAATAGAAATAAGGCTTGAACACAAGAGCAGGACCGGAGACCTGCTTCTGCGTGGGAGGACTTCCTTCAGCAGTGGTGTCAGAGGAATGATGGGCTTCAGTTGTCTGTGAATTAGAGAAAAGGCCCACAGCTGAGGAAGCAGGTATTTGTGAGGTGGCTTTCCTTTGGACGGTATGAAGCTGTAGGCATGGCATCAGGTGGGAAAAGGTCCAGGAAACCAGACTAAACCTAGCCCAAAGCAAAATCCTAGGAAGACACAACATCATCGAGTGCTTCTGTTTACTGATCCATTCCCGTTATGCCTACTAAATTGCTAATGGAAGAGCCTCTAAGGCTTTCTTTTGATTTACTTTCAGCTGTCAGTATTTCAAAGTTTAAGAGGAATATATAATCAACCTGTAGTGAATAATAGGTCTAAACAAGTTGTACATTCGTGTTCAGAGTGCAAGTGAAACTAGATGTAGTCCGCAGTTGCAAAGTTTGGATCCCAAGTTCCTTGATTTTGTGGCACGCTTCCACCAGTGATTTCACGGCTTTGTGGCCCACGTGCACAAAGACTGCAGACACTGTCTCATCTTTCTCGTAATTCCCCAAATAACTGCTATGCACATTATCCTCCAGCTAATCCTTACGTATCTCTGATACTTGCATTCATAAGCCTTCAGGAAGTAGGCATGCCTCACATTTAAGCTGTCAGAATGTGCACTGATATTCTTGTTTGCTGTTCCACCATTAGAGTACATTTCGTTGCAACCACCATTGTAAAAGATTTTAAAAGGCACAAAATTAAAATTACAACACTTGGAGGGTTTTTTCCCCCCTTACAAAAAAGAGTATCCTCTAGTGCATTTTCTGCTGGTGTTACTTTTTTAACAACCAAATGTATTGGAAAGAAATGCCGTTTCATTGAAAGGGAAAATCATGGAACTATTTGTATCAAAACGACTGAATTCTTATTACAGGTCTAATCGTAACTCTGTTGAGAAACTTTATGAAGACAACAAGCTATACTATATATAACAAAAAAAAAAAAAGTTTGATTCCCTGGAAATGGTTTAGTACTGAGAACATTGAAACTTTATAGATCTTTGCAGACCTGTTTTAGGTCTCTAGACCTCGGTCTGCTGTTGTAGAAGAAGATTTGGCTTCCTTTTTCTAAAATCTTGTCCTAAGCTGGCATAAGAGCAGATCTCAAAACCTATATATATTTTCTTGATAATAAAAAACTTGTTTTTTACCCATTTCTCATATTTAAGTAGACAGCCTTAACGTTTAGGGAAACTGTATGTTTTATTTGTAATAGTATTTTTAGTATTTTTTTCAAGTACATTTTAATATTTTGTATATAAAAATGGAGCCTGTTGCTAATGATTTCTGAGTTGTTGAGAAAGTTAGACGCATGGCTTTCAACGTTCTGCCCTCGTGCATATCACTTACTCAAATATAAACCAGAGTTAGTAAAAAAACTTTTTCCTCTAATCACTGCCAATTCAATGAAACCAAAGGTTTTCTTGGGGAACGCGTAGTTTTCTGACTAATTTTCAGTGGCAGTTGTTCAAGTCTCATTAGAACCAACTTGAAAAAGATTCTTTTGACCTCAGCATTCTGATTATATTACAATAAAATGTTAATGTTGAAATGAAACGTTTTGGGAAGATTAAGCAAAATATCCTGGAATGCTTTATTTTGCAAATAAATCCTCATTTTTAAACTCTTTTCCTGAATCGTAATTAAATAAAGTATTAAAATCTGCGTTTTCCTGCTAATAGAAACTTCGTTCTTCAGCCATGTCTCCTACTTAAGTAGACAGCTATGATCTTTGGGGAAACTGAATTTTCTAGCTCAAGACCAATAGTTAGCCCATGAAACAGTTGGGATGATGTGTCCAGTGAATTAATTCTGTTTACATCTCCACCGTTTGAGAGAGAACTGCAAAAAATACCTTAAAGGCCACTCCTTTAGAAGGACAAACCATTGCCGTTTCAGAGACTTCTTCAGAGCAGTCAACGTACAGTGTTTGTGAAATGTGGGAAGCGATGGAATAGGCATCAGATTCCCCAGTTATATATGATGGAAGTAATCCAGACTTTCCTCTCACTTTTGGCATCTTTTGCTGTAACTTTTACTTGATTTTCATTTTTTATTCTAGTGCCAACAATATGCCTAAGCAAGTAGAAGTGCGGATGCATGAAAGTCATTTAAGTCCGGTGGAGCACAGATCCAGGAACATATGTGTGCAGTTCTGCCAGTCGCTCCACAGGAATCTGCTCCTGACTCTCACTGTGTTAGGTAAGCTGCATCTGCTGGTCTGGACGTTCTGCGTGTATCTGCATTTATTCGTGTGGTACCACAGACCCTGTCTGTGGCCATCAGCAGTTCCAGCTGAACAGCCACAGAGTAAGTGGGATGCCCGTAGGCATAGTTGCGTTACTTCTGGTGTGTAGGGTGTTAGTGACAAAACACGGAGCAAATCCATGCCACTGAGATACATCGTGTATCTGGTTTTGAATGGAGTGCCAGCTAAAGCCCAAGGCCGGTCAGATCGATGTCATTCAGTAGAACTAAATGCACTACACATTTTCTCTCTCAGTCTTTTGAAAAAAGACAAAAACCCTCCAAAAACTCCATTCCTTCATCTTTTATCGCTCAGTTCATGCTCCGCTACTTTTAAGGTTTGTCCCCCTCTCTGTAGCTGTAAGCCAGCACTCCATGATCTCATCCTGAATATTGCCTCTGGCTTTAGCAGCTTCCAAATATGGAACAGTTTGACATTTTATTGTGGTTCACTGGCTCTTTGCCTGTTTCTTTTTCACTGAAAGCCTAACAGCCAAACGCAGCAAATTCATAGACATACTCTGTTTTGTTGTTTTTTGAAAGACCAGCTGCAGCTGGTCTTGAGCTGCAAATTTCACATCCATATTTTTCAGCCTTCAAAACCCATGCTGCAGAAGTGTTCAGGCAGTATTTGCTTTGCATCATCTTTAGAAGGTGCCTGATGCAGTTCCAGAACAAGTTTTAAATACATGTATATTTTCCATTTTATCAAACAGATACTTCAAAGACTCATAGTTGCTGCAAATCACAACTCAGGCTTTCCTGTCGAGTTTTGTTACACTTGGGACTTGGGGTGGGGTCAGGAAGACAAAGGCAGCCTGGATGTAAACATAAAATATCCATTCACAAAGACCACGTTTGAAAGGAAACGTGGCCTTTTCTTCTCTAGACTATGCTTTAACAGCCTCAGTCCTGAGGGGATGGTTAGGTGTTATCACTGTAGAAATCAAAGTAAGTGATGAAGGGATTGTTTGTGATTTGAGAACATAAGCACAAAGAGAAGAGAAGGATGCAGACCATCAAAGGGAAGGAGTAATAAATGAGTACTAGGAGTCTCTTCAATGATATGTGCAGTATTCCAGATCGGGCACTCCCTTCCGACCCCCCCGCCCAAATGAGACTTGAATCTGTTTTACTCACAAGGCTATTCTAGCTTTCCTGCAGGGTTTTTCGTATGCTGTAAAATAGCTACTCATGCTGACCTTGTTTTCAAGTGGTACCATTCTTATGTTGAGAGCTAGATGTCATACTCCCGAAGAGCTGCGTCCTAACCCTGGCTCTTCCGTCAGTTCTGTATGGCCTTATATAAATCACTTCACCTCTTGGTGCCTCAAATTTGCCAGAACGATGATATGAATTATATTTGAGTATCCCTCAGTGTATTGCAAGGCCTACACAGCATTACTAAACCTCAGTAACATTGTGGTTTGCAGCAAATTTGTATTTGCAGAAGCAGAATAGTACATTAGGTGCAAGCTCAACTGGCAGAAAATTCTACATTAGGACCACTTCTCTCTAATCATGAGATACATGGTAAGCATGTTACAGCCTCGTATTAATCAGAAGGCTAGGCCTTCCAAAATCTGTCTCTGTACCAAAAATCAGCTGCCTTGCGTAAAAGTTTTTTCTTCTAGGTAATCAATGCACATTCAGGTATAGTTATGTTACCTACCTGCTCTCTTTTATTCTTCTTCCAGGTGTCATCCTGGGTGCATTGTGTGGGGGTCTTCTTCGTCTAGCGACACCTATTGACCCTGACATCATCATGTTAATAGCCTTCCCAGGAGATATACTTATGAGGATGCTAAAAATGCTGATCCTCCCTTTAATTATCTCCAGTTTAATCACAGGTAAGATCTATTAGCCATAAATACTTTAAGATGCTTGCTCCAGATATCACCTGGTTTGCTTTTTATGATGGAGGAAGAATAATAGTGTGATCCTGCCAGGGATATTGCAGTTGCAGCATGTATTTCAGAGTTAATTTCTGATTAACTTCATTGGCTTTAATACATAGATGCTCCAGTGAATGTATTTTCAAACACATGCACACATACTACCTTCTTGAACATCAGAAATTTCTTAATATGCTGTTTCACCTAATTCCTGGATTGGTCCTTGCAAATAAGATGGCATGACACTAGCAAGCCTGGCCTTCTTAAAGCTGTGGTGTCAGCCAGACCATGACCAGTTTGCAGCAATCAAGGGCAAAAAATGGTATGATATCTTCTCTATTTTTCAATGCCTCCTCTGCAGTTAGATTTAATCTTAAATGGTTCTCTTCAAATTAGTAGCAGCAGACATTGTTCACATAAGAAGTGGAGGGAGAAGCTTCAGTGATCTATCTAGCGGTGAGAATTTCACAAGGACAAAAGTAGGCACCTGTAGGCAGTCATTAAAATTTGCCATTTATAAAGGTTTTTAATTTGACGATTATTGAAGTGGATATTGAGTCTCAATATATTTGTTTGTTTCTTAAAATAAAACACCTGCAGGACTGTCTGGTTTAGATGCTAAAGCAAGTGGCCGATTGGGTACAAGAGCCATGGTCTACTACATGTCCACCACTATTATTGCTGCTGTGCTGGGCGTGATTTTGGTTTTAGCCATCCATCCAGGGAATCCGAAACTCAAGAAACAGCTTGGTCAAGGGAAGAAGAATGATGAAGTATCTAGTCTGGATGCTTTCTTGGATCTGATCCGAAACCTCTTCCCTGAAAACCTAGTCCAAGCGTGCTTTCAGCAGGTAAATCCTTCTACTTCTTGGTAATATTTTTTGCATATTTTACTCACCAGGCATGTCTGTAGAGTTAATGTCATTGTTTAGGTGAATGACAGAAACGATGATGCAGAGAAATACAGGTCTTAAGTCTTGAGCAGGTAAATGAAAGAACATTATTTATAGCTGCTTTGTCTTATGTTGCAGTTATTTAAATTTATAGATTTTTTAAAAGAAGATTATTTTTAGTTTGTTGTTAAGTAAAATTAATTTTTTTCCTTACTTCTTATACAATATATACAGTCATGAATGCTGGCTTGGGGCTGAACAGCTGCTGAATTATGGGATCTTTTATCCAGGTTGAATTCGATCTTAGTTCTTAGTTACAGAGCTGATGGTTTTGCAATGCCCTGTTTGTAATATATGGATGATCTTCATTCCAGCTGGTTGCCAGTGGAAATGTACCTCAGACCTAACCTCCCATGACTTCTATTGCTGTATTAGAGTCCAGACTAGGTGAGGATGATACAGTCAAGTGGCTGACGCACTTACAGGTGGCTCCATCAGGCCAGGTTTGAAGCATGCTGGGGAAGAAGAATGCTTGCACCATGTGTTGCTTGCTCTGTAGGTAGATAATTTTAGAATCATAGAATCATAGAATCATTTAGGTTGGAAAAGACCTTCAAGATCATCGAGTCCAACCATCATCCATGCCCACGAAAGCATGCTGTGGAGTACCTCGTCTATGTGCTTTTTGAATACCTCCAGGGATGGTGACTCCACCACTTCCCTGGGCAGCCTGTTCCAATGTTTGACAACCCTCTCAGTAAAGAAATTTTTCCTAATATCCAACCTAAATCTCCCTTGCCGCAACTTGAGGCCATTTCCCCTCGTCCTGTCTCCAGCCACCTGACAGAAGAGACCAGCACCCACCTCACTACACCCTCCTTTCAGGCAGTTGTAGACAGCAATAAGGTCTCCCCTCAGCCTCCTCTTCTCCAGACTAAACAACCCCAGTTCCCTCAGCCCCTCCTCATAAGACTTGTGCTCCAGGCCCCTCACCAGCTTGGTTGCCCTTCTCCGGACACACTCCAGCACCTCCATGTCTTTCCTGCAGTGAGGGGCCCAAAACTGAACACAGGACTCGAGGTGCGGCCTCACCAGTGCCCAGTACAGGGGGACGATCACCTCCCTGCTCCTGCTGGCCACACTATCTCTGATACAGGCCAGGATGCCGTTGGCCTTCTGGGCCACCTGGGCACACTGCTGGCTCATACTCAGCCGGCTGTTGACCAATACCCCCAGGTCCTTTTCCACCGGGCAGCTTTCCAGCCACTCTTCCCCAAGCCTGTAGAGCTGCATGGGGTTGTTCTGACCCAAGTGCAGGACCCGGCACTTGGCCTTGTTGAACCTCATACAACTGGCCTCGGCCCATCGATCCAACCTGTCCAGATCCCTCTGTAGAGCCTCCCTACCCTCAAGCAGATCGACCCTGCCTCCCAACTTGGTGTCGTCTTGAAACTCACTGAGGGTGCGCTCGATCCCCTCATCCAGACCATTGATAAAGATATTTAAAAAAAGCTTTTCGCCAATGCTTAATCAAAACAGCTTCACTTCGAGGGATAAAATAAATGAAAAATGCATGCTTCCTAATTTCTGCATAAGCATATTCCTTGTATGTAAGCTGCTTTTTCCTACAACTAAATTGTTTGGCAATAATGCAGACTTTTTTTTTTTTAAGATGGAACAGGGTTTGTTGTTGTTTGTTCTTAAGTGTTCCTATGTGAAATGGCATGATAGCCGAAACTGTGGTTATGGCCAAAGAATAAAGTGAAGAGAAGAGGGGAAGGGAAAAGAGGCCATTGGGGGTGGAAGAATGGAGGGCAACCTAAGCTGCCAAAATGGCTTGGATTGCTTCACTTCTTCCATGGACTTCCCCATAAAAACACATAGTCCTTGGGGGTTTAAAGAGAGAACATTCTCAATATTTCCAAATTATCATGGGAATGTCAGTCATGTGGTCAAACTGTGGGTGGCTAAACATCACATGTAATGTGAAATGTATTTTTGCAAAATTGAGTGAGGGGAGAGCAGGGTGCTTATGTTTTTTTTCTTCCTTTCTCTCATTTGAACTCTGGAAGAGAGGAGAATTAAATTTCTGGTGAGTTTAAAGAGGTCAAATATCTTGAGAAAGGGATGAAAACTGGGAGAAAGAAGAATTAAGTTATCCGTGTCAGCTAGTTTTCCTGGAACCTTAATATTGCTTTTTCAGTGTGTGTAGTATCAATGTTCAGGTCACTTCACTAGTTGTGGATCACCAATTCCATTGATTGTTTTTTAAACTTAGTCAGAAAAGCTACCGAGCTTTTTGGCTTTCCAGTGTTTCATTTTATCAGATTCCAAACTAATTGCCAGTGAAACCTCTGTCGCAAAGCCATCTTTCATTTGCAAAGTAAGTCACGCTCCTTTCCACATGGAACTTGTGCCTTCTATTAGCCCTTAACGCCTCAGTAAGGAGTTAGGCATCACGTGTCTCTCTATTTCGGAGGAAAATTAACTGCTTTTAATGGTGTCAGCATGTATTTTCTCTTCCTACTTTTATACAGACTCTCTCCATGAGCATTCAGTGTTTCCAGGTTGCCTTAGGAGGAAGCAATTTTTGCAGAAATCCTGCAAAGAATGACTTTGAAGGGTGCATCGCAGTGGTACTGTGTAGCCATGGTCTGTGGGGGAGTTTTACATGCCTTCCCTTTTGACCTGGCAGAAGGCAATGAAGAGATTAACTTGCAATTTTGAGACAGTTAATTTGCAAACTGAACTCTGAACCATCATGGGATTTCAGTATCTCTTGAATTTTTTTATGGTCCACAAGGAAGTCTTAATTTATAATGAAAACTGCTATTCCAGCAGAGACTTAAGATCTTATGTGCCATGAAAGAGAATAAGACTATCATCTATAAATATGACTGTGACATTTAAATGGTTTTCTGGCCTCAGATGTTGTTGTCAGAATCTAAACTTGATGTTAGGCTCAGCATTTTTAGTGACTGTGGCCTTGTGCAAATAGGGGCTGAGGACCTTTGACTTAAGTGACTGTAGTGGAATTTGTGACTGTGTAGAGTCTAATGTTTTAAGTTTAATTTCTGTGACTCTGTTCTTACACTCTGGCTGCCTCACAAAAAATATTGTGTTGACAACATCCCTCAGATAAAATTTAACTCTGAAAAAAATGTAAATGTGCAGGAATGTTGGGTTGTTTCAGGACAACTGAAGAGTTTCTCAGAGAAAGCTATGTAGGTTTTCTGTCTACATCCCCCTCTCTAGATTTGGACAGCAGGTTTTGAAAGGACAGATGTAAGGTATTTTAAAACCATAAGGCATTAAAATACATGGATTGAATCTGGATCATCCATAGTACTACAATGACCATCTCAACAGGAAGGAGGTGCAAATGTTCTTTGAGAAGCTAATGCGTTTCTGATGCCATGCTCGAACATGTTTCTAGGATCAAGGAAAGTAGGGAGCTGATGGGAAACCATGGCAAACTGGTCATAGTTTCCTAACCATTTTGCCTGTCCCAGAGCCATGAAGAGGCAGGAAAGGCTCCAGGTGTGAAGTGGGAGGAAAACATCCCTTCTAAAAGCAGCAAGTCACAGATCTCTTTTTGCACTCCCTCCTCCCTTTTTTCCTAGCTGTAAACTCAAGCCCATTTCTCCCCCTACCATTCCTTCCCAGCTTTCCCTTGACCCTGCCTTTCATGTGCCAGGAGGGCTCCAGATCCATTCAGATGCTGATGTCTTCTTTTTTGAGGTGGTCAGATTTGCTTTTATAGGTATCTGGCAGCTCTGGTAATTTTTCTGTTATCTGTCACTCACAATATTTTAATTGGGGAGCTCAACGGACTGTGTGTATTCCATTTTGAGCTCTCGCAATCACCAAGTGAAGTGTTAGAAATGTCTTAAGTTTTTGATTCAAGTTACCCATCAAACTATGATAACTTGAGCTGGGCAGACCATCCTGAATAACAAGCCTTACTGCAGAGTTGCTGTTGTGACTGATCTTAGAGGTGCCTGTCTTTTGGCACTAAATAAATGGTATCAACATGTAAAATACAATCTGTGAAGCACCATTTGTGAACCATCTGGACAAAGGGGCTAACTATCTGTCAAGTGCTACATTGTAGTGGTAAGGAACAAGTATTTGCCATACTTTTCACATAGAGTCATGAGGAAGACTCCCAGGACTTTGTGACACTTGGAACTATTGAAAAACAAATTTATTTTTGGAAGAGGGGTTAAGAGGTTGTGGAATGCATGTCTAATCCTTTCAAAATACAGTTCCCTGGAACGTCAAGTGAAGACTCTCTTTATTATTATTTCCTGATCTCCCATATGGATTCCATTCAGTCTCTTTCCATTCTCATCCTCCCTTTTTATTGCCTTCAGATCCAAACTGTCACCAAGAAGGTGCTGGTACCACCACCCGTTGAAGAACCACCTAATGTCACCGACTCTGCTTTTGCTATGATGAATGAGACAGTGCGCGAAGCACCACCAGAAGCCCAGCTGGTCATTAAGAAGGGACTTGAATTTAAGGATGGCATGAATGTTCTGGGTAGGAAAACTTTTTGCCTCTCAAATATGTACATCATATGTATGACACAGCTTTTGGCTGTGACTGGCTAGCCAGTGTTGTCTGATCTGCTCTTCAGTGCAAGTTTAGTCTCCCCAAATAATCATCAAATGTTATCACCTACTGGTTGCCCATTGGTCTCTGAGATGAAAATCTAATGTTCTTACTAGAAATATAACTGTATCACAGAAACAATCAAGTGAATTATTCTGGATTGGCAGCTTTGCAGGTATTAATTGGAGTACAGTGGGGAGGCACGTAGGAGGAACCCAAAATATCCTTTCATCCTAGAAGTAGGCTACCTAGACTAATACTAACATCTTGGCAAAACAGTATGGGGGAGAGCTTCAAGAGCCAGTGCTTTACCCACCCCCTGAGGAATTTGAGCTCAGTTGGTTCCCGTAGGTGTCTTGGGCACACTGAACTAGACTTTGGCTTGAGGCAGAGCCTGAAGTGAGAGGTGGGGTGTGAACTGCACCACCCCAGAAAAATCCCAGAGAGGGCTGACACATCTCTGAGTCACAGCTCCCTCCTCCTTTCATCTCGGCTGCTGACCTTTACCAGCTGCAAATTATGAACAACTGCCGTTGTGCCATCTTGTCTGGACAAGAGAGCGAGTGGGGATAGTAGGAAGGCTTTGCTTGTCTCCCACCCCTTCCTGAAGGACCTGTTTGGACTGGAGTGGGGGTGCGGGGGAGCAAAGAGCCACCACACCACTTCTTTTTTTCCTCTTTGCCTGGACTCACTGTTTTGTCAGCCCAGAGAGGAGTACTCCTCCTTTACCTTGTGGGTGAAGTCGGTCACAAATTAGCCCTCAATTTGTAGCCTCTTTGGCACACCTGTACTTGAAGATACACGTGCTGGTGGGCAGCATATCCACAGGGCTGAGGCTGACAAATCGTCCTCAAAGTGGGACCCTATGTGGCAGTACCTAAACCACTGCTTTGTCTCACCACTAGGCCATCGCTTTTTAGGAGCTAATGGCCCCTTACAGACTCCCTACAGCTGATGAGCTGCTCCTGCTGTGCCTGCAGAGCTTCTCTGGGTGTTGGTTAGTTGGTTGGCAGTGGCTGCTTTGCTTAGACATAGAGGAGATAGCATCAGTAAGCTGATCAGAGATGATTTGTTTCTCTGCAAAGCAGCCTGCTCTGCAAGAGCCAGGAGCCGCTGTATTCTGCCTGCCTCCACAGCTCCTCCTTCCCTTCAACATCTGTGGGCAGAGGAGACGCTTTCTTTCAAAGCTGAAAATTGGCATTTTGCACCCTGCGTGAGGCAGCAGCTCATTGCTCCTGCTGTTACCCTCACCTGCTTTTTTCTTTCCTGGAGCTCTGCTTAGGTATTAAAATGGAACAGTATTTCTAATGTGAGAGATGCATTATATTTAGTGCTGGACTTGTTTTGTGCAGGTTCTGTCATGGATAAGAAAAGAGCTAGAAGGCTGAATACAATTCCTACAGAAAGGAAATACACAGTTTAGGTGGGGGACTTGCTGTAATATTTTGACCAATGACTCTCAAATGTTGCACAGTTTTTTGGTTTGGTTTGGTGTGCTTTGGTTTTGAATGAAGAAGTGAAAAAGTTGGGGAATTGCCATCCAGCTTACATAAACTGTAAGTCAGGCAAATTCCTGCAAATATGAACCAACTTGACTCTTATGACTAATGTAGCAGCTCGTTTGGAATTAATGAACAAAACCACCTACTAACGTTCTCTGAAGCAGAGTTTGAATTCCAGGAAGTTACCTGGTCTTTGACTGAAAAGCTTTTCATCATTTCTCTATGCTCTGCAGCACACAAGCATATGCTTCACTTCCCTATTCAAGCGACTCAACAAAGATGGCTTAGTGCTAAAGAATGACTTTATGTCCAGGAGATTGGATTAAAAAAAAAGAAAAAAGTCTGGCTGCTAAATGCAGTGTGAGGATATGGGACAGCCTGTCTTTTCCCAGAGTACTAGTAGCTGAAATTCCCTTCTCTTGAATGCTTTTGTGTCCTGATGGGTTTTTCCTTAGGAATTTCCCAGCTGAGTTCACACATTTGTTAAATACTGGACTCATATCATGACTGAATGTTTAGCCTCAAAAGAGTGGCTGAAAATGCAAACCATCTATCAGTGTCAGTTAATAATCCCACTCTGGACACTGACAATTGCTGGATGGTAAATGTTGGCACTGGAGACACAGGTCCAAAGTAATACGACAGATGCACTCAGTTTTTCGTACTGATACTCGAATACCCCAGCCTGTCACACCTTAGCATTTAAATTTAGGAGCCAAATGTTACTCATATTGAGTTTTATGTTTATGTATCCACTGATAGCTGGTTTCAGTGAGGTTAATCTGTTTAATGGGAGATCTGTGGTTTAGCTTGAAGTGCAATACCCACCTTTTCCTCCCACCACCACCTTCTTAATTTCACTGGAATACTTCTGGCCCACAAAAGTTATATTCTGGGACTGCTTTTCCCTTTCCCTGTACTTCACGACTGACTAGTCTGTAGATTGAATCTGTCAAGGGACTTTTGCAAAGCTTGAGAAAAATTCTTTTGGTCTCTAGTGACTGTTTTAGCAACAAAGAAGAGTCATGATAGGGCCCTGTGTTGCCTCTCCCATTTGCCAGGGGCTATGAGGTTTCTAACAGTTGTATGGTACTGAAAAGATTATGGTGTAGGTATTTTTTGATGATTGGATCAGTTCAGGAAAAAAGAAAAAAACATAGTTGGGCTGTGAAATTGGAATTTAGTAAAATATTGAAGAATAAAAGATGTTCTGAATACGATCATGAAAGTTGAGAGTGAGTCCATATTAAAAACTCCCAAGAGATGTGTAACACACTATAATTCTGAAAACTGGATTAGCAGGTAGTATCGAGACATTGACTAGGTGCAAAAACTTCCTAAAAAACATGGTAAAAACATGGTTTTACTTGCCTTTTTTTGTCTTGCAATTTTTTCCCAATAGGTTTGATAGGATTCTTTATTGCTTTTGGCATTGCTATGGGGAAAATGGGAGAACAGGCCAAGATGATGGTGGATTTCTTCAACATCCTGAATGAGATTGTAATGAAGTTAGTAACTATGATCATGTGGTAAGTTTGAAGTTCTAACTTCTAGAACAAAAAAAGATTTAAAAACCTCATAAAACCCTAATATAGCATGTAGTGACCACAGTTTGTTAGTAAACAATGTAGTTAAATAGTTCATTTTTTAAAGACTTGACAGGTATGTTATAACCATAGCAGCCTTATTTCTGTTTGGTGATGATTATTTAGGGCCCAATTTGCAATATTTCTGAGGGTATTCTGTTCTTTGTTTACTGAAATCCAAGACATGCAGGTACCAGCAAGGGCCTTCAAATACCACGTTGATTATGGAAGTTCATTACATAGGAGGACACCTAAGCAAGCAAGAACGCCCCACACGAGAGCATCCAAATCTTCCTGGGAGGTTAACATAATCCCGGGCTATTAGCTAGGAGGTATAATTACAAAGAAGCCTGGAGACACACTTTATTAACTGTCTTCTGTTGTAAAAACACTTTACCACTAAATAAAATTCCAGTAGTTTTCAGTGATGTGTGGTCCCTCCACCCATAGTTTCTGCAGAATCTCTGTCTTACAACCTCACCGCAGTGGGGTCACTGGCAGGTGTCTGTCCTGTCTTTGAAGTGTAATGGGGGCTGGCTTGCCTTCAGCGGGGTGACTTAACCGAAGCCTGAGCCCTTGTTTACATTTCTGGAAGGGGATTCTCGCTTTTGTTTTTAAGATGTTTCTGCTGAAGGCTTCCCCAGAGCTATTCGTATGCAGTGCCGAGTGTGGCCATATCACACAAAACCAATTTTTCGGAACATAAAAACGCATTGCTAGGTTTGGCATTGTAGTGCTGTGTTCTGTGTCTCCTAGGTCTTTGAGAGCAGAAATAGCCACTCCAAGACAACACACGTGTCATGGCTCGTTGCTCCCTGTGATTCCCTGGTGTCCCTGGGAGTGTTTTACTGAGTTACAAGCTGCAGTACGCCTCTTCTCTGAGGCTCTAGATGGACACAGTTTATAGAAAAGGGAGCAGGGTTGCCTGAAGCATGAGTCTTCAGCATCATCAGTGTTTCAAAGGGAGACTGTTACGCCAGAGTGATGCAGATAGCATCGGCAATGTGGAAATGTGTAGAACAAAAGAAAGAACTGGAAGTGATGACTTTGCATTCTTGTTACACTTCTGCTTTTCTGTAGATGATCTTGCTGCATAAAAACAATTGTGTTTATTCACAAAGCCCTACTGCTTTCAATAGTTATCGTAACCTGCTGCTCTCGACTCTCTGGAGAGATAGTGACTATACTCTCCTAACACTGCAAGAGCTAGAATTTACTCTTACTTCACTTGGCACCAGTTGACACACCCAAGACATAATACCTTGCCTACAGTACAAATTTTCTCTAGTAGTCAGTGTTGCAATGGCAGGAAACCAAGTTTCAAGAAATTCACTGTAAATGTTTACTTTTTACTGATGTGCTTTTTATTTCTCTTTTCGTGAGAAAGGAGATTACTGTTGGGAATTGCACTTGTTCACCTCTCTCTAAAATTTTTAAAGAATTGTTGTGACCAGAAGCAGTTTTTTTAATGTGTGTTTATAAAGACAAAGTCACGTTTTGTTTGGTTTATGATTTCTCTGTGCAGAGAGCTGTAACTCCTGTGACATTGCCACACAAACATAAAACAAATCAGACATCTGGCTCTGACACCATGTGATTCTTTGTAAGAAATACGGTTCGTCAAGTTCACTGAAACGTGGCTTTTTATGATAACTGGTATAACAGCTGGCCTTGCATTTCAAGTGACTGTGGGCTTTCCAGGTTTTGGACACGTTGCTTGAGAGACCTGTTTCTTGCAGAAAACATGAAGCACTTATATTCTGAAAGTCAGTTTCCTTTGTATTGTCTTTAATTAAGCATCCAAATCACAAATCACTTTTGAAAATATACATTACCATTTATTTTCAGAGAGGCATTTTGTTTACTGTTTCTCCACGTTACACATATTATTTTCTCCTAGCTTAAGTTTTATAAAACAGATAGAGAAAGTGAACGTCACTTAAAATTATATAACATACTAACCTTTACCAGTGCAGCTGTAAATACTGTCTTCTATCCATGCACTTTCAGGCATTTTTCACTATAGCTGATTATTACATTTTTTAAATAATATCCCTTCATTTCAAATTTTTTTATTACCAAGCTGTGCTACCATTATCATCCTATTTAAAAGTTCCATTTATGCCATCGAGGAATCACATGACTGAGGTGACAAAACCCGTACCTTAAGTAGGAAAAGCACATAATTAATGAAGTATCCATAAACTAAAAAGCATTTGTCCAAATTATTGAAAGTACGTAATGGAAACATTTGCAGCCTTCGACATAAAAGCAATTCATTTCAGCAGATAGTTTAACTGAAGCAAATAATGCAGCTCCCTGAAACCAGATAAGCAACGGGTTGTAAAATGTATTAAGAACAAATACTACAACACTCATAACGATCCAAGCCTGTGTGACATTATAGTATTCTTGTACAATGTTGTTCCAGGATCAAAGACTATTCATGAAATGCATATTCCATTTGATGGGGTGGAATAAAATGAAGTAGATGGGGAATTCACTGGAGATGGCAATTATTTAAAAAAAAAAATTGAAAGCTATCCATTGAGTTTCCGTCAATTCCTGATCTGTATCTCAGTGTTGAGCCTGAGAGCCCCCTCCTCTTTCTCCAGTCTATACTCTGTTGAGCACAATTTTTATGACTATGCTGCAAAGACTAGTTCTGCCTATGCTTGTTCTCTTTCTCCAGGTATTCCCCTTTGGGCATTGCTTGCCTCATCTGTGGAAAAATCATTGCAATCAAGGACTTAGAAGTAGTTGCTAGACAACTTGGCATGTACATGGTCACTGTGATTGTGGGTCTTCTCATCCATGGAGGGATCTTCCTGCCTCTGCTTTACTTTGTGATAACAAGGAAGAGCCCATTTTCATTTCTTGCTGGCATTTTCCAGGCATGGATCACAGCACTAGGCACAGCTTCCAGGTACACTTCAGAAATAACAGCTTGCTTTATTTTTTAGCAGGTTATTAGCTGCTGTTTAGAGATAATACATCTGCTGTTCTGACCTTCACTGCAAAATCATTTTATGCCATTGAATAAAAACTATTTTTAATCCAGTTGTGTTGAAATATATCAAAATAACCACATACCTTTGGGATTTTTTAGACAGGTTGTACAGTCAACTGCAGAGAGTTGGGAGACCCACTTTTTGTGTTCTTTTCTGGCATTGGCCAAATGACTCGAGCAAATTGTGTTACCTCTGTACTTGCTTCCTCAACTAGGAAACAGTGATAATTCTGTTTATTTTGAGAGCATGTTCAGACCAGTCTTGTTGCACTGGGGAAAAAAAAATATAAACAGTGCTAGATTTCAAGAAAGAAATGAAAAAAACCTCTCATTTGATTCTTTCATCCATTTTGGCAGAGTAAGGGGACTTCATTGAAGAGCTGAGCATTTTAGACTTCTTGCTAATGCACAGAATAGACTCAACAAAGTGTGTAGGCAGCTCAGCTCTCAGTAATAAATTGATGCTTTGCATTGGGGCGGTCAGTAGATCTTGTGTTGAAAATATTTTTAAGTTAAATACCATATTTTAAAGTGTTTTTCTTCAATACATGTTTTATTTCTGAAGAAAATTTAATCTTCCATTTTAATTAAAAAGGTGAAAAAAAAAAAGTCTAGTTCAAAACTGACCATCAGAAAACTGAGGAGTCTTGATTTCAGGAATGCCTTGAAAGAACTGTAATTCGTCTGCCTCTTTGGGTCAACCCAAGCCACTCTGCTGAACAACTTCTCCCCTGATCAGCAAGAGGCTCTGGGGGGACCTTACTGATGTGCATAAATATCTGATGGGACAGTGTAGAGAAGATGAAGCAAGACTCTTCTCAGTGGTGCCTAGTGACAGGACGAGAGGCAGTGGGCACGAACACATGAGATTCCATCTGAACACAAGAAAAATCTTTTTACTGTGATTTACTGTGATGGTGGTTGAATGCTGGCACAGGTTGCCCAGAGTAGCTGTGGAGTCTCCATCGCTGGCGATACACAAAACCTGTCTGGGCATGGTCCTGGGCATCCTGCACTAGCTGCCCCTGCCTTGAGCAAGGTGGTTGGAATAGGTGACCTCCAGAGGTGCCTTCCAACTTCAACAATTTTGTGGCTTTGTGATAAACAATGCAGGATTATAGGAGATACAGTCTGGCCAGGAGTTTCACTAAACCACAATTTCCCTAAGGCTTTTGTTCATTGAAGTGTTTGAGTTTCCACTTAGATTTTCCGTACAATATTTACAGTGTCCATACGCAATGTTTGTGGGGTTTTTTAGTGTGAAGTACTGTTTTTCTGCTGGAATACCGAAGTTGAAAAATGTAGGGGATTCTAAGTGATTCCAGTGTATGTATTTACCTGGACATTGTCTTTACCACCTGACTGCTATCTGGATCTGAATTACTGGCTAAACAGAAGTGGAGCAGTTTGTAGCACCACAGACAAGTGACCACACGACACCAGTCACCAGCACGTGGTGTAACCTGGTACCTCTGGAAGTTGCAAATGCTTCCTATTCAGGGACCTATTAAAGCTCTTTGGCCAGGCTGAGGAACCGTGGAAGGCATCTCCATATTGCGCTCTTCTAATGAAGAAACTTTGTCTCCGTGGCCTGCCCATGCTCTGTCCTTGCTTAAGGTGGCAGAACTGGAGAGGGAAGTTACTTGCGTAGTCCCTGCCTGCTGAGCCCACCGGGGTTCATGGCAACAACGGTAGGCCATGGCTGGTACACACCTTGTGCTGGTGATCTGATTTGTAACAGTAAAGGTAAGGTGGGACTTGTATTTCTGAAGAAAAAGAACCTTATCTGACTGAGCTTCAATGTGTGTCAGTGAACTACATTTTCTGTTCTGTTTTTCTTTTAATAAGATATAGGAATATCTTTGCTGTAGGAGGCAAAGCGATCCTGGAACTGACTTGAAAACTGACTGGTAGTTATTGGTTAGTGACTCACTAGATATTTTCTGCTATCTGCTATAAATATAGCTGCTAGAGTAACTTACGAGAGAATATACTACATTGTTTCTAGAAAGATGAATTCTCTCTGATTTGGCTAAACCCAAAGGATATTAAGCATTTTATAACCTTTGATTAAAAACACAGTAAAATAAATCATAATTACAAATATATTTGTAAAGATGCCAGAAAGAAATGATTGGTACCATGTATCTGGCTTATCGGCACCTGTTAAAAAAATCGCCTCTGTGAACAAAGAATGGTCTGGTCATTTGAGTACAAGGTGGGGATCTAGAAGCTCCTATCTTCTAACTCATGTTTCCATAGATGTGGGACAAGAGGAATCATTTAGGAAGTGGCTCAGGCATCTGCCAGTCCAGAAGGATTTGGGTTTCCATAGATACCATGCGAGATAAGTCAGCCTCATGTGCTTGTTCCAGATAACCTAGGACGTTTATTATGACAATACGTTTTTATAGTTAGATATCATCTCAGTCATTCCTTAATCTACCTTTTCCGTGGTTTAATTATCTGTAAAATGGAAAGATTACATTTTTTGTACCCAATAGCATCTCTATGGTAGTGGATGAATGAATGAGTTGGAAAGACCCTGAAGTTGCAAGGCACTAGCAACAATATGCTGCAAGTGTTTATCTGAGAAAATTTGGTGAGTCTAGTCCTTTACTCTTCTATGAGCAAATTAGTATTTTTGTAGGGGCAATGATACCAGAGTTAGTGGGATACAATAGTGAAGAACTTTGAGAAAGTCTGCCATCTTAGCTGAAGAAGAGCAAATAAACCACAACGGATGTGCTCCAGCTGCTTCTGTATGAAACACCAATTAAAAGGAATTTGCCCAGGTCAGCTTTCTCTTCAGAACAGCTTCTGAGGCAACAATCAACTTCATTTAGTGGTGGACTTGACCTCAGAGGTAACACAGAAAAGTAAGGAACCCAAACGTGTTCCTGTGTTGGGTTTCGTGCTTGTTGCAGTAAGTCCTTTGCCTGAGGCAGGCAGACCTGCTAGGGAGGGGAAAAAGCTGACGATATTTACATCTACAGGGAAAAAGAATATGTTTGGTTTTCAGCAGTATTTTTTGATGAAGGTGTTTTATTTTAAGCAAGTGAATGCAATAGCCTCAACTATTCCCACAAAGGCAGGGCACTGTAGATCTGTGCAAGGAGCTATCCCCCTCTTCAAGCCATCTTGCGCATCTTTTCCTGTCCTCCATCTGTGTTTCATATCCTTTCCTGTCCTCCAGTGTCTGGTAACTCCATGGGTTGTATCTTTTTGCCTGGCTTTTTCATTCCTTAATGCAACAGTGATTTCTCCATTCAGAGCAAATTCACAATCAAAGAAATTTGGGACTTTTTCCCTATGCTCATAGTTCCGTCCATCAGAAAACATCCAGAACTTGTCTTTTTGAACAAAATGCAAGAAATCATTCATAAATGAGTCTGAAAAATTCATCTACACTCTCTCAAGCTCTCATCCTTACTTCAAGTCATGTTCATGTTTTGGCCTCAGTCCCACCTCCAGCTAAATGTAGGTTTAATTTAAAAATTGGCTGAAACAGGCTTGACTCATAGCAGAAAGTGGAAGTAGAAAATGTAAACAATGATAGCAGAATTTCTGACTTTGCTCCCTTATGTGTATATATTATACTGTAGTTATGTCTTCTCTACTTTCTCTCCTTCAGTGCTGGAACATTACCTGTTACATTCCGGTGTCTTGAAGAAAATCTAGGCATTGATAAGCGTGTAACAAGGTTTGTTCTTCCTGTTGGAGCAACTATTAACATGGATGGAACTGCCCTTTATGAAGCTGTGGCTGCCATCTTCATAGCACAGATGAATGGAATTGAGCTGGATGGAGGCCAGATAGTTACTGTGAGGTCAGTTCAAAATACTTGTACGCTTTGTTTCTAAAGACTGTAAAATGTGAAGCTTTGGGTTGGATGTCTTCTCAGTAGCTGTGGGATTCACTGTGAAATCCATGGATTTCTAATAATGATATGCAAAGGAATGTCGTATACGTAGGTCCTGGTTCTCTGGTGAGATGTGTTTTCTGTCATTTTCAGCCTTAGTGCCTGCTGGTGGTGTCTTACACAGTTCTGCAGTTGACAATACAATGTGAAATACAGCATTCTCTGTCCAATGCGTTGCCTTTTTTAGTATAGAGTGACGCTACAAGTGATATACAGGGCATTAACTTTCTAGAATGTATCTATCTGTTTATATACATTGGAAGAAAAAAGTGTACCTAAAAAATGTATCCATGGGTTTATGTTTGCCTGTACTTTTTTTGTGACTTTGGTCAACAGCAAACAAAATGGACAGAGAATAGCCCAGCCTGCTGAGGGTGAGATTGCCTGCAGCATGGTCTGGGTACTCCCAGACTTTTTATCTCTAACCCAGCAAGTGTTAGCTCTAGTCTTTCCATATCAAATTGTCATATCCAGGACTAAGCTGAATATCTAGAAGGACAAAGGAAAGTACCCATTAAAAGCGGATAATAAAAAACAATGGCAAAGTTACAACTGCTGCAACTAAAGTTAATTTACAATGGAAAACTTGATGAAGGCACCAGGCCTGATGTTTTCAATAGTTAAAATGGAAACCACAAGTGAAGGCTGCCAAGTTTGCCTCCTTCCTGTAGTTTTCACCCACCCACCTTTCTTTTATTAAACCCTTTTAAAACTAAAGAAACTCCTGCAAAGGGATATCAGATTCTATGTTTCTTGCCCAGCTATATACTAGTTCCACATTTTCTATTTCTTTACTTCCTGCCAACAACCCCTGAAATAGCAAAGCCAACGTTTGTAAAAGGTTCAGGGCTGCTTCTAGTGAAGGCAGATGCTAGACCTGCATGATACATATTTGTTACTAAGACTGAAAACAGTCATTTCAGAGATGCCACAAATTAATCTAAGTTGAGACCAGGGAAATTCAAGTCAGGAATCAGCTGTTGTCCAAAAGATTTGGTTGGCTTGAACCCAAGTTACTCCTTTTCTCCTCCTCTGAGGGACTGACCCATTAGCTCTTCCTAACCTCACCATTTCAAGGCCAGTGTAGCCAGCTTTGTGACTTACATGTACTAAGCCGGCAGCAACTTTGGGCTATTTATAAGAAAACCATTGGTTCTCCTCTTCATACAGTATAGCATTTTTGCTACAATATGACAAGAGCTATCTCTTGAGGTGGCAATACAAATGAATGAAAGGTTGTTAGGTTTTGTCTGTCAAATCTAGTTTGTGAAACTGAGGATATTCAAATGATGCAGCCAATAAACTCATGAAGACTTAATTAGCCTTTGACCAGCCCTAGTTACTTCATATTGGTCATGTGGATCCTCTGATCTCCTGTCTTCTTTGGGAGAGGATGATTTTGGAAACGGTAGCTAAGCCAGACTGTTTAGACCTGAACAGTGCTAGTCTCATTCCCCTCCAGGCCTGTAAGCGCTGCTGTGGGAAGGTTGGCAGGAGCGTTTCTTCACAGATGTTGGAAGCAATCCCTCACCAGTTCAGGCTGGAAGTGCCTGAGGAGCTGACACCACACGCAGAGCCTGACGGCAGAGCAGAGCATCCTGCCTGCGTACCTGCTGGACCTAGCAGGGTGTTTAGCAGGCCAGGTTGCACTCTAACCCAGACACCTGACAGACACAACCTGGACTGTCAGAGTCAGACCCAGCCATCTGCCAGCTCTAAATCAGGCTAACATCCTTGCAGATCCGTTCTGTGGCTCCCGGTTGAGGATTTCCCCCACAGAGACCTTTTTCCCCTACTTCTGTGTTGGAAGCACTTTCAGATTTGTTACCTACACCCACAGAAGTACAACCATGTTACTCATCTCTGTGTTTAAAAAGACAGAGATAACTTTTTCCTCTTTCCCTTTTCCTTTTTCCGTGTTGCTTCTTCCTTGTTCCTTTTTCCTTTCCCTCTCCGTCCCTTTCCTTCTCCTCCCTGTTTTTCTCTGCTTGGCTTGTTCTCTGACAAATTTATTTTCTGTTCTTCATAGGATTGCCCAATGATGTTGATATTTGTTATGGTCTGTGTTGTATTTTTACAAACATTTGGAGCACAGACATTCACTCTACTGGTCTTCATCAAAAAATAAGAGAGGCAAAAACAAAGACAGGTTTGGATTTATAAAACAATCAGATGAATTTTGCTTTTTCATCTAGGGTGACTTGTATCTAAGCTTGGTACACCACTGGCTTGTACTGTGGGAGTTTTGGATACCAAGACTTTTACTCTTCTGTACTTGGTAATAACCACTTTCTCTCAGCTGTTACCTCACAATTCAGTCTTCAGGTACCATAAATAAACAGAAATGAACCACCCTGAAAATTCAACCTGTAGCCACCAAACTTCAACAAGTTTGGATGATCAAAACTCAGGATTCAACACACTGGATGTGTTGGTAGAGCTCAGAAAACAACACCAGGCCAAAGACTTGAATGTCATGACCAACTTAAAAGAACTTAAAACTCTCACACAACTCTCTTACAGCTCTCAGAACAAGCCCCATAGATCTGGCCTCCCTTAATAAATATTTTTGGAGAAACACAAGCATGAAAACTATGGCCTGAGCTTGCCATGATTTATCATATGGTCATTAGTTTTCTGGGAAGACATCATTAAAAATAAGACCTTCCTAATGATGACATGAGTATGCAATGAAAGTGTGTGTTCCTCTTACTGCTACCCCCATTTGATTTTTGTTTTTGCAGTTTGACCGCCACCCTTGCAAGTGTTGGAGCTGCCAGTATTCCCAGCGCGGGACTTGTCACTATGCTTCTGATCCTTACTGCCGTGGGTCTCCCTACCCAGGACATCAGTTTGCTTGTTGCTGTTGACTGGCTTTTGTAAGTTGTGCTGACTGCACTGCTCGGTGCCGAGAAAGTAGTGAAGTAATGCTTGTCTGTAGTGCTTTTCAGGTGTTGATCTTAAGGAACTATAAGACTCTCCTCTGCAGATGAGGCAAAGGAGGAAATAGGCTATTTGATGAAGGAGGAGACAACGAAAGCAACTTCTCAGCTGGTAGAAATTGTTATAGAGCTACTGAAGTCAGTTTCTATGAGCCGAGGATCTTGTAAGACCCTTCGGCTCACACTCATATATTTTCCTCTTCCTAATGATGCCTCTCCATCACAGAATGGCTCAAGAGCAGTCTTCTGATCTTTGCTTTCATATTTCTGTTTATTATAGTTCTGGTCTAAAATTAAGGATGAATGCTGAAAATGCAGGTTCCATCAGGATGTTGTCAGCAAGTTACAGGGTGATTTGGGCATTTGTAGTATCTAATGTTTTATGTTCATAGTGGTGAAATTCTATTTCTTTTTGTACATGAGAAAGTAAAATACTTTTAAGAAAGAAACTGCTCTAGAGCAGGATATAAACCGAAGACAAATAAGAAAACAAACTGAAAGAGAGAAGGTCGTTCCCTAGTTCGATTTTACTGACAGATCCCTCAAACTGGAAAGACTGACTTATTTTCAAGGACTTGAGATCAAAGTCCTTCAGTGCCATTGCAGGTCCTCCGACAAGAAACAGCTAACCCACAGGTAGTTTTCCAAGGCTTTTGTTCTTCAACATTTGAATACAGAAGCTGTAAATATAGGCTGAGCATATGCCAGCCCACATCCTTTCTCATGTTGTCATTTGACAATGTGGATATCTTTCTGTCACCTGTGCAGAGCTAACAGGGACTTAGTAGTCCTCTAAGTTGTACTGGCCTCTAGAGGCTTTTATATTGTCCTGTACTGCTGCAGCACAGTATTTTCTGGTCAACAGCCATCTCTGCCCTAATATTCTTTTACGTAGTAAAGATGTATGTTTCTGTTGTGCCAGCCGTGGTGCCCAGAAGGGGAGATATAAGTACCACTCTGTACTATTTGTGCATTTTCCCCCTACACTAGCAGCCTCAGCTGCCCGCTTGTGGTAGCTTTCAGTCCCCGATACACTACTAAAATTATGCAAGAAGGAATAGCAGAGTTGAGAATGTGAAGATAAAATAGAAAATTAATTTCTGTCATTATCTTTTGGCTTATTGAGAAGAATTCAGGAACTCGGTCAGTCTTCTGACGTGCATTTTGGATCTACTGCTGTACTCTATCCGTTATTACCTATCTTGACACTAAGAGTTGTGAAGAATAGCACACAGCTCTGATTTCTGCTTCAGGGAAAAATGAAAAAGGAATTTACAGCTTGGGAAGGCAAAGGGAAAAGATGACTTACATATTTTATATATAACTGAATATCATGATATCATGACTCAGAATGGTGAAATAAGGCAGGGTTCAGCAGTCAGAGTACAGCTGGCGTAGGGGAAAATCTGATATTCTGTGGGTTTATTATATTTATGAGGTCATGGTTGAAAACAGGAAAGCAGCATAGGAATCTGCAGCTGGGAGGAGGAGAGCAAAAGGGAGGTGCATACTTATTTTAAATATGTTTTTGCTGGCTCTCAAAGTAAAGCAAATAGGTAGGTTTCTGCAGCTGGTAGGAGGATGTGCAAAAGGAGCCTGTGGTTTGTTTTTTTAGGGAAATGTCATTTAAAAATATTCCTGTGGACTGCGAAGCTCTGCCCACACTAGGAAACCTCAGAGCTGTAAGTTTACCAGCAGTTCTGATCCACTAGTAGGTGTTGCATTTCAGGCTCAGCTTCAGCAGTGTTGTTACCGCTGCCTCATCCAACCCTGCTTGGGAAATAAAAACATCTGTACTGCGGAGCTGTAGCTGTGATGAATGTAAGTATAGGAAGGATAGTACTTCTGAAAGAAATGTTTCAAGGTATCTTTCCAAAATAAATGCCAGGCAAGAGAACATTTCAGCACCGACGGTTGGGTTTGGATCCTTCTGGCCTAACAATCAGCAGCGCAATTGCAGCATGATTCAGAATTGAAAAGTAAGGGGAAAAGAGATGAAAAGTAAAGGGAAAAGAGATGAAAAGTAAAGGGAAAAGAGATAAAAAAGGGGGTGAAAAGTTCTGTGTCATGCCACTAGAGCTGTGAAGTTAAGACAAAGTTCGTTGGTGGAAGGAAGCGTTGTGCTAGTTAAGATATGTTCAACAGCTAATAGCTTTATTTTCGATCTTCCAGTGGCTGTGTTGTGGTAGCCATGGTGATCTAATGAGATATGGAAAATGATGCTGCTGACATTGCTGATGTTAAGAAAAGGCACACAAGCCAACTTTTGAGCAAGCTTTTGGGCACACAAACCAGACCTAAAGAATATCTGAAACTAAAGGTCATAAAAAGATATTTTCTTTACTTACAAACATTGTCTTCTTCCATTTTTTTAGACCATCAAATAATGTTACAGCAGTATTTGTAACAGAATGTAGAAGAGAAAGTTAATAAAATATTTAAGACCCAATTCCAGCCACTTTTCTGGAACCAGTGTGTAAATGCAGCCAGCCATGTGGGAATATTTGGAATAGCTCTTTTATAACATTTCAATTCCAGATAATGAAAGCTTTTAAAAACTGTCCTACTTTATGAGTTTTTCAATATTTCCAATGAAAGAAAATATCAGAACGTCGGTTGATTTTACAATACTACCATCATCTAAAACTGTGGTCTTACCAAAACCAGTTTTGCACAATTTGGTCATGGTGTAACACAAACCTGGCTTCTGATTGTCCTTAAACTTGGCACTCCCTCCTTCAAAGTGGAGCCAAAAGGTTTCTGTATCGATTTCTTCTCAAGCCTCTCCAATATGTAGAGATTAGGTTGCTCAACCTTTCCCTCTCCCACGCGTACATACACAGTGTGAGCTCTTTCACCAGGCAAGTTTCCCAAGATTTCACAACTCTCATAGTTTTTCAGTTTAAAACTAAGCACAACACAGCAGTGACATTTAATAGGACAGTAATTATATGCCAACAGCTGGAATAAAACCAGCTTCTTTTGCTCTAGCCAGAAGCTGGCTACTTTCCAGATGTGAGACTGACAAGCTTAGCAAATATCATAGGACAACCTGAAATACAGTGATATTTGCCTTGAGGAGACAGGAATTAGAGAAAATGGGCTTGAATGGCTGATCTGGTATTTAAACCTTCATTCAGTAACTCAGAAAAAGATTGCTTGAGTTCTGACTCCGTTCCTTGGTTTAGATCTAAATTCAGAATATTCAGACCCAGTTGACATCTGGATGTTATGAACAGGGCCTTATATAAATTGAATCAAACTGTAGAAGACAGGAGCTCTTTCCTATAATGACAAAGAGGTAAGGCAAGTTAAACACGTCACCTGGTCTTTGACTTAGCAGGTGTGCGAGATTTTAATCTCCTTTCTAAAATCTAGTAAGTTTGATAGACCGAGTTTTCAAGCTTTCAGGGAACAGGAGTAACTTTTTTGCATACTATCATGCTATATAGGTACTATGACATTAAAAACAAGGGGGCTTGATTCAGGTTTTCTCATTTCTATTCCTTTCATCTACATTGTTAAGCTTTCTGATTTATGTCAGTTTGAGGAAATTAGGCATTGACCCTTATCAGGATTTAAAGAATTCCTTCCCAATTATTCCAAAGCCCATTCTTACCAGATGATGAGTTGGCTTTTGAGAGAGAACTTTGACTTTCAGTCCCATTATTCCTCTCAGAAGCTGTTACGGACAATGCAGAAGTAGCTGTGTTGGGGCAAGTCCTTTACTAGACTGCAACTTTCCTATATTGATTTTGTTTACATCGTTCCAGCATAGCTGGAATTAATTGGTTGCTTGCTTTAAACAAAAGAGTACGTACAGTCTTCTTTGTTCTTCTTAGGGTGTTCTTTGGCACAAAAGAGGTCAGTGGCACTTTACTGTTGATTCCTGACAGCTGAGACTTTGTCCTTTCTGTTGTAAGGAGCTTACTTGTTTACTTTGGTTCACACAGTATAGCATGTTCTGCAGCCTTGTGCAGTATGTGTCGCTGAACCTCTTGGCTAGCAGTACATGCATATGGGCTGGAGCATCTCCTCAAATGACCCTTTCAGAATTTGAATTGTGCCTCAATTATATTTATGTATTCTCTCCTGCTTGGTTTTTTTGGCATCCTATACTATCCCTCCATCGCCTGGCACCAGTGAACCCTTTCAAAATTTAATACCAATCATATAAAAAAAATTAGGCAGGTGTTCTTTTTGTGGAGCTATATTGCCAGGTTCAGTATATTCGATGGTCTTAATTAAAAATTACATTTGGAAAGTCATGTTTTCCTGTTCTGCCACCCTGACCAGGTTTAAAACGCTCTTCACAGGCATGGGATGAGAACTGTATAAAGCATTTCATTTGTGTGAAGCAAAACTGGAAGGATGTTTTCCTCCTGTGGTTGTTGGTTGGTTTGTTTGCTTTTGAGGGGGATTATTGGAGGGTTTTTTTCTTCCTGGGTATTCTTCTGACGACCAAAACCACCCCCCAAAACAAGTCCTTCAACTAAGATATTACACCACAAACTCCAAATACATACGCATGATAATGTAGAGAGGGAGAGGAGAAATTTGAAATGGAATACAGTTCCACAGCTGGGAAGGGCAGATTTACGGACATTTAGAGCAAAGATGTTAAAAAAGGCTCAAAAGTTTGTATGGCCATGAATAAGCATGTGTAATCAATGTTTATTAGTTTGGGGTTTATACATTTAGATTTTTTTCTCAGTGTTCTACAGGAAGAGGAGCTGTCACACAAATCCAGTACCAGAAATACTAGAAAGGGTGTTTTCAAATTAATCACTGTCATGGGAAATGAGGTCTTACATGCTGGCATTTCTGTCACTTGGCAAATGTCCACACTGTTCAAAATGCCCATTTTGTGTAAATGAGTCTTCGTGGATATACCTCTGAGAAGTAATTAGTGTAATCACTTCTCTGACCTATTTGACAAAGCTATACTCAGTTGCTGCAGTAGCTTTAAATTGCAACTCTTAGTCAGAAGGTTTTTAAGAGTGTTATGTTTAATTAGGATATGAAGAGACAAATTAGATTGTAAATGATTTCAACATGTGTAATACAGCCTACCTGCAGTAGGAAAGACAGCAGGAGCCCATAGTCCTGCAGTGTTCTGTAAGACCATCTCCCATTTTTGCAGAATTTTGGGCAGGTTTGGGACAGAATTCTGAAATCAGGGAAAATCCACAACCATGAGTTCACTGCTGACAGATAGTTCGACACTCTGAAAACGAGTCGGGAGGAAGGTGGTGTGTCTGTCCAACGGCACCCTGTCCAGCAAGTGCCAGCAAACATGTTTCTTTGTAAGAAAGCACATGAGCCTCTGTTGGCATGCTCCTACAACGAGGGGCTCTCGTTAACTGAAATGCGCTCGCAGGCTCATAATTTTGTAGGCCATGACCTATATTTGGTTGGCTCGTATGTTGAGCTCTTGCATACAGTAGTGTGAGTGGGCATGCTGCCATGCAAACAGATGACCGTCTATAGCGATGGTGCCAGGAGAGGAGCTGCAATGGCCTGAGCCTTATGGAGATACTTCAGGCATTTTTTTCCCCATAGTTTGCTTGCTGAGAGTAAAGGGAGAGGCCATTTGTTAATCCATCTGAGAAATGAGAATCCTTCATCAGATCCAAAATCCTTTCCTCAGGCTGCATTAAGTTCAGTGCTCTGATAAATTAAACAAAGGGCAATGATGTGAGCCTGGCACCGTGGCATTGAAACCTCCAGCTCCAGGAGCAGGTGCTGGGGAGATCTCAGTCAAGCACAGCTCTGCAGTTTGGCTGTGTCTCTAGCGCATGTTCTTTGCCAAAATCCATGAGTATGACCAGCTGGAACATGGGAGTTTGCACATCCTCCCTGTCTGAACAAGTCCCCTGGGAAAGCAAGCTTTTTAAATTTCACTTGAAAGCTCACATCTTTCTGTTCTAAAGATGCCTTAAACTTTCTGAAATAAATGCAGTAACTGTAACATTAACAGGGCTGCCATGCCCTACTTTTTCTTACTCTCATGCCATTCAGCCTCTGCCTTTTGCTTCTTTTGTAGGGACCGGATGAGAACATCAGTCAATGTAGTGGGGGATTCTTTTGGTGCTGGCATTGTCTACCACCTTTCCAAGGCAGAACTTGACACCATTGATTCCCATCATAAAGGGCACGAAGACATTGAAATGACCAAGACTCAGTCAATCTATGACGACATGAAAAATCATAGGGAAAACAACTCAAACCAATGTGTTTTTGCAGCTCACAACTCAGTCATAGTAGATGAGTGCAAGGTACCTTTCACATTTATGGATATTGAGACATGTATATAGCACTGCATGCTTTATTTTATCTTATTTTTTAACCTGCATGTATTTTTCAAATCGTACTGCAAATAACAATGTGACAACAAGGTCCATGAACCCCAGACATTTTGAATGAGTTTGAGCAGTTCAAAAGATGTTTTTTTGCACTCTTCTTAAAAGTTGTCATTTGAGGGGAAAAAACCATGTACACTGTTTACATATCAAAAGGCAAGATGCAGCGTATTATGGAATATGCCAAGACGCAGAGAATATGGCATCACCTTCTATGGACATTTACTTAATTTTCTATGACAACAGAGAACTTAATTGCCAACCCAAATGAAGGATAGCTGCAATTCAGATACAGGTGTTGTAATTTGCTGACTGCCATCCATGATATGCTGTTCAGAGATGGACGTGTTGAATGCACTTTAGCATCAGAATGCTCCTGCACTCATACAGCATGCTTATGCTTTGCTTCCGTCATCATTCCTGAGTCATTAAGGCACAAACATCATATTCTCTCTCTAATCCTTGCTGTAACTAACATGGATTATTAATAGTAATAATAACATCTTGATCAGAGCAAAGTGAGCTTGAGAAACCCCACCAGTTGAATGACAGGACAGTTGGGGAGGTTAGTGGTTAAAAGTTCCCTAAGCACCCACCACAAGGACGGGGCAGTTTAAAATCAAGAGAGAATTTTTGAAAAGGAGGAGAAAGAGAGTGAAACAAGGTGGAACTTTTCACTTCATAGTCTTTTTTTTATTTGTTAATACTCTGATCTGATCCCGTACACTGTCTTTGACACAGTGAATTTGCCAGTGAACCTACCTTAGCCATTTATCCAAACAGATTCTCTTGCATCTTCCAGTTGCCACAACTGAGCCAGTATCTAACTGTGAATGCCTACACTAAGTCCATTAGCAGATCACCATATATATTGGAAATATAAGTCCTATTCTATCACTTTCACCTGTCTCCAGCCTGGCTGGAAAAGTTCTTTAGAATATATTTTTTTCTAATGCCTGCTGAATTTCCAGGGGAAAAAGTAATACTGAATTCAGGAAAGAAAGAACTTTCATCTTATCCTCAATTTTCCCCCACATCTTCCAATTTTTTAATACAGTGATTTTTTTAAAATGAAAACAAACATTTTGTTCTGATATGGCTCTCCCCTTCCTCTTCTGACCCACTCTTTTTCCATGAGAAAAACTAAAGAAAAAAAAAATCTTGAAATGGAAAGAGAATACATGCTTACACAACATTAAAAATTGTCATTAATTTGTATTTCTCAAAAAAGGAAGGGACACAGAAGAGGTAAAAATATGAAGGAAAAAAGAAACTCCCTGAAAAGAAAGACCTCATGTGATAACAGATTTTTTTCATTAAAAATAAGCACACATGCACACACACACACACTTTTTGGTTAACTTCTTTTGGAAAACTGTTTTTCAGTGAAATAGACTATGCTAATTTCATTGGGTTTAAGACAAATTCAGCTACCATTTATCAGTCCGAATCCAGTTCATGGAACTGAATACTGATAATTTTATCTCCTTCTAGTCTCTCAGATTTGCACAGACATCCAAGTCAAGCTAAGAAGGTAGTAGCCCATTGATGCAGTGTTTGCTGCACTTCCTTTCTTCCTTCAGTTTCTTCTATAATTTCCCTCAGTTGAGGCATTAGCTTACCACAAAAACGTGGACTAATGGTGTGGTACATCATCCTAAACACACCCTTTAATTAAAATTTGGGACCAGTGGTTTATGAGCTAGGGGTGTTTGTCCTTTTTCATTGTTTTAGGTTTGCTCTGCTTCCGATCTCATTTTGCACATTTGAACTCATGAAAAGAGCCAGGGTTTACTGGATTGGGCACAAGACTGACTTTGAGCAGGTCACTTGTCTTGTCCATGTCTCTGTCTGCAAGCTGCCAAAAGGATGTGATGTTATGATCTACTTTATAAACTATGAATATATACTGACATTTGCAAAGCATTTGGATCATGTTGAAGTGGTCCACAGCTCCCAAGTGCTGAGTGGCAAAAGCAACAGAGTGTAGGATTTGGGGCTTCAAAACAGCCAGTTGTTAAGTGAAGAGACATCTCTTCGTCCTGTCAAATGCACTGGTGGGTTGAAAAGCTCACTGCAACTCTGGTCAGAATTTGGAAAAGCTAATCTACTAGCATGTCCTCTCTGTTCACTTTCTGTAATATCATTCCATGTATGACGCTGGTAGTTTGTAATTTTGCATGATCAATGGATATTTTTAATACGTAGTTTACCTTTATCTGGGGGTAGAGTGGTTGTTATTGCATGATATTTTTGTATTTTTTTATTATCTTATTTCACATGACTCTATGTGATTTTCATTTCTGAGTAAGCTGTTCATTCCTGTTTGCATGTTTCCCCCTTTCAATTATCTAAGAAAAAGCTTGACTTTTTGTTTCAAAAATCAGTGCATTTTGTCATGTTTCCATGTCCCAATGCTTCCATGCATCCAGTTTATCCAGCATGGGGAATTTCAGCTCTGTCTTTAAGTTTTCATTTGAAGCTGAGGATGTTAACTTACAAGGTAAGTTAGGAAAGAGTGAGCCACCCATTTAGAGTTAAATGAAAGGTCCTCTCACAGTTACAAAGATCTAGATCACTTTTGTAAAGTTAAATTGACATTTTACCTTTTTTTAAATTTTTTACGTCATTTGGCTGGAGCTGTCTTTCATGAAGCATGTGTTTATTTATAGTGACTTCTGGGATGCAACGTACTGGCCAGTGTTTACTGTGACTTGGTAGATCACTATAGCTCTTTGTCCTGGTTTTGGCTGGGATAGACAGTCTTCTACCATACTTTAAAACTAAAAATTTTAGCACATATCTTTACAGGCAAGAGTGGTGTTTTGCTGTACTTTGTGAGGCAAATGTAGCATTACTATGAATTTTTGGTCTGACGATAGTCAAAATCTTTCACTACATTGTTAGAAATAGTGGTATGATGAACAATACTTTGACAACCTATCTTTTCTTCCATTTCTTTAAAGGTGGTGTAATTGTAGGTGAGTTTGTATAGATACACACCTATGATTATTCTGCCCTTGCATATTTTTCATGTCCTTGCATCAGCTATCCTGCCTTGCTAAGGAATGCCACTGAAAAAATATGACTTTCTACATTAAAAAAAAGTAATCTGTTTTTTAAATAATCCAGAGAAATCTATAGGAAATAGAAAAGAGTAGAATCTGAAATATTCATTTTAAAAAAACTACAGCAAAGGCTAAGAAAATACGGAACTTTTTTTCTACTGCTAATGTTTTCTAGGCAGTATAATAAATGAACAGGAGTCTCACTATTTGGGAGTGTTGTGAATTCTGAATAAATACGTTTTACATCTATAATAAGGCATGGTGTATGTAATTCCTGTAAATATCATGATATTCCATATAAAAGTCATGACTTTTCTTGTCAAAGTGCCTTGGCCTTTAAGTCGGTTGTTGATGATAATTACTTGCAGGTAACACTGGCAACCAATGGCAAATCTGCAGACTTCAGTGTTGTTGAAGAAGAGCCTTGGAAACGTGAAAACTAAGGGAAGAGATTCCTAGCTCCATCTTTAATAAGCCTTGAAGCTATCTTCTGGCAAAAGATACCACAGTTAAAGAAGATTTCTGTTTTTTCTATTTAACATCTACAGTTTCTGCTTACTTAATTTCTTAACTGAAACTTAGCAAAGATCTCATCAAGTCATTGTAGTGTCTTTGCCAAGCAATGATCCATAACCATCTGTCTCCCTTGTGTTACTGTTTGGATGATGCAGCTGGAGAACGCTCCATGCAGTGCAATGTGCTTTCACCCACCTCCCCTTTCATTCAAGACACAGAGAATGTAAAAGCTGCAAAATGGGAAGATCAAAGTGCCAGTACGGTTCACTACAGGGACTCAGGGTCACAAATACAAGAGAAACATAACACCACGTAAACCTTCAAGTGTTTTGGTGACTCTTGTGGCATACCTGATCTATTTAGCACTGTATGGCTAAAATATCTTTTGAAAATGTCCATAAAGGTTTCTATTTGTTTTAATAATAACAAGCACTGTATTTTTGTGCCTAGTTGTACTTTAAACTGAACTTAGATCCAGGGGCAAGATTAATGTATAGAAGTCAAGAAATTATCCCAGACATTTTGTTAGATCAGTACAACTAATACTTAGCATCAAGACAAGTCTTTAGATTGGTATGTGCATATGATGTGCTTTTATCAGCTGTCCCAGGGGAGGTGCAGCCTTTGTTTTATGATGGGGCTGTGCTGGTTTGTGACCACAATGCACCATATAATACAAGGCAGTGTTATTGCAGGGGTGGTAGTTCCTTCACTAAGTCTATGCCTGATACACAAAATACAAAATACCATGGGCTCAGTTATGCCATTTTTAATCAAAGTAGGTGGCACCTTACTATTAACCCTGCTCCGCTGATGTCAGAGGTATTCCTCATGTGGACGGGAGTATTCAAGTAAGGTACTACTGAGACTGATCACAGATGTCATGATTGGGTATTTGATAATGAGCAATAAACAAATTCTGAATCCATTACTCTAAGAAATTGAGAGGTTTTGAGTGTGATCAGCAGTAGCATTTGGTATGAAGTGAAAGCCATCTTTCAAGTATATGTCATATTTCAGAGAATGGCTAAATCCTGAATTCATTGCTAAGCCAAATTCCATATAAGGTTAAGAGAATTTGGCCAGGGTTAGGATTGAATGAAGAATAAACCACAATTCAGGATTTAGACCAGTACATTGAATATACATCTCTCCCTCTCTCTCTCTTTTGCAGAGTAGCAATTCATAGAACTCTCTAATGTCAGAGAAATGTTTCTTAGAGCACATGGCATCTGAATTAATGAGATGGTGTTTTGCCAACATAGTATAGGTGACTCATCCTGTCAGAAGAAATTAGTCACGATAATCACCCTGTGAAGTGTTTCTAAAGGTGCTTGTTAATACTCAGCAATTTTAAGACACTGGTGAATGCCATTATACTATTAGCAATGTTCTATAGCAAAGCTGAGCCACGTGGCCTTGGGAGGCTCTACCCACAGAAAAAGCTTTGTGCAATTTTGGGGGGAGCTCTCAGAGGTTCGCAGAATGAATCGGAATATGAGCATATGGTGAACTTAAAAATGGCAGAAAACAGAGTTGAAACATTTACAGAAATAGGCCATTCAGTGTCTGTGCTCAGACCTGTCATGGGCTTAAACAGGAATAACATGTTTAACTGTAGAGTGGTATTTGGCTCTGTAGAAGATATTAAAATATAAATATAATCTGCTTTTGCTCATTTGCAGTCATACAAATATGTCTGAAAATGCACACGGACCTGAGCCAGCCAAGGCTACTTGGATGATTAATGATGTGCAAGATCAAGTCCATTGTCAGAGTATCCCTCATTTAAAAGCATTTGTTGTCATGGAATATTTTTCTTGTATTTTTGTCCTCACTTGCATGCCATGGCTACAATCCTAAGCAAAATGGCCTATATAATTTAACAAATATTGAACCACTGTGAATTCTGTAGGCCTCTAACGTATATGAGAGGTAGAGAGGCCTTTTCCAGAAGCCTCCTGAAGCAACTTAAGGATTGTTTTTTTGTGAGGGATGGCATCATAGGATATTCAGAGAAGCAGTAAGCAGGTTGTCTTTTCTTTGGTCATTGGTATTAGCATATCCACAGTGAACCTATAGCTAGCTGCTGGTTTTCTCAATTTGCATTTGAAGACATTTTTCCCACTGGGTTATGTGCCAGCAGTGTGCCTGGGACAGTGTGTAGGTACTCTAAAATGTTCCCTACTTTGAGGGTGCTGGCTCACATCAAGTGAAATTTGCCGTGACTTGGGTGGTAGTTATATCCAAGAATAACAGGCAGTGTTTACCCTGGTTTATATCCAGCATTCTCGAGCTGTTTCATGGCACAGCTCGCCCATTAATAGATGACTTTCCATCCTCTTCACTGTAGCAGTTTCTTAGGAGCAGCCACACCGATTGCTTGCCGTGAAAGTAGCTTTAGAAAACTGGTCCATACGCTTTCAGCTGTCATTTGAAACTGTTTAGCAGTCGGAAACAAATAGGAATGCCAGCAACATGTGACTAGGCAGCTCCACAAAATTACATCTTGAGAAACACTTAAAATATGCTTACACTTATCCACTTGGGATGTATTGTCCTTTGAAGAGTGCTTCTTTGGATGGAGACCAGGGGAGGAAGGAATGAGATGCTAGAGAAACTCCACCCACATAAGGGAGAACAAATTTGGGTCTTTTGATAGGACTAGAATAGCAGACTGTGATTTTAAAATAGTAATTCTGTAGATAGAGTAACTCAGGGATGTTTCAAAGGATAATTGTGATGGTATTTCTCTATTTAAATGTAGATGTGGGAGAAGGAGAAATGTTGGGTTTGGTATACTCCTCTGCTTTTAGCCTGACTGAATATTTAATATAGTGTTACTCCAGCGCAGCACTGTATTTAACCATCAAAAAGCTTTCCATTTCTCTGGGAAAATGTAACTCACTCTTGGCTTGTGTTTCTTGATTTGCTCATTCCACATGAGGCTGGGTTGCTACTTAACTAAATAAACAGAAAATAATCCAGGGACCAGCCACTACAGCTAATACAAGGTTCACGTTTCAGCAGGCAGTGCTGGTTACTGGCCAGTCTCTTTTTAGTTTCACTAGGAGTGTTGATGCATTAATTTGCATCTGGCAAATCTTTTGTATTTGTTCACAGTGCTGGGGTGGCAAAGTTAAAGGAAAAGTGCATGGAAACAGAATCGTTTTCTGTGTAGTTCTTAAACAAATTAACATTTCTTTCTATATTCATGTGGTTTGCTGCTCTGTCAGTTCCCCCCACCCTTGTCTGTGCAACTGTGATTGATACCCTTTGCCCTTTGGATTGCTGACAGCACACTGGCACATGGAAAAGTCTAGACCAGGCAAAGACTCAGTTAATTGCATGCTTAATTAAGTACATGCTTATGCATTTGCTTTATGCATTTAGTGCTGAAGCTAGGTCAGCATTCTCTTAATATCTCTTCACTGAAACTAAAGCACACTATACATTAAAACTACAGAAGAGGCGGAGCACTTTGCTACTGCATTTGTTTCCTCATTGCTTCCCTTAGAAGACAAAGGCTGCACCAGCATTGTAAGAAATAAGCGTGGGTCTTATACATGAAGGTGCTTCAAATAGGTAGGGGATAAGCCATTTGAACCATATTATGGGATGTGCTCCTTCCATTTGAATTAGTAAAAAATTCAGTATGTCTTTGAAAACTGTATTTGCTGTAGTAAAACCTGTGCCTGCAGTGCTCTGACTACATGAAAGCCCCACTGAAATCTGTGGGAGTCACAGGCTTCCAGGAAAGGTCAGGTCCCTTCCTGTCTTCTTTATGCTACAAGACATTTCACAACCCCGTCCTAGGGAGTAGTCTTTGTCTGCTCTTTATAATGACATTGATTCGCATATCCAAAAGATTTCTGCCAAGATGCTTCTTTTTTGCCTAATTGTTTCTATGCTAGATGTCCAGCAGTGAGTTTAAAACTCGGCACAAAAATAAGGGTCACTATCATTACATTTTTTTCCATTTCTTCCCTGAGATACAGCAGATCTGCATTTCTTTCTCAAAGCCTGTGGAATTCCTAACTTCGTGCCACTTTAAAATGTATGAGTAATATAGATTTCTGATTTGTTTTCCATCACTCCCAGAGTCATTAGTTTTCCAGCAGTAGATACTCAGAAGAGCAGACTGTTCATCTGAGAAGCTGCAGCAACAGTGTTTGAACAAATTTATTCTGGCAGCTGCCTGGATATCCTTTGCTTCCTTGCCTTCACTTGTGTTGTTGCAGCCTTGTTGTAGCAACACAGCAGCAATTGCACAAATCCCCAAAACTGTAGGCAGTATTAAACCTCACCGCTGACATTCACTTCTGTAAAAAGGCTCTGAGCTTTAGTACTGGGCTCAGAAGAATCCTTTTCTGGAGATGTAAAGGTGTAACTGTTTCTCATTTCCTTAAGTTCCATTTATCTATTTTTATTGCTGCATTTGAATTAATTTACAGAAGGATAAATAAGAGCACTTTATAAACATGTACTGTAACATTATTCTATTATGAGCCAGAAGACTATCCTTGATTTTATTACTGTTACTTCTAAGGCCACGATTAAGATATTTTTCACATTAGTTATTATGATAGGTGTATAGTCCATTAGGACAATTCACCTCGGCTATAATTCATCATGTAAGACTATATAGAAGCTCCTGTTCCCAGCAGAAAGCACTCTCAGGAAGATGAGTTATTTTCTTCTCTCCAATCATATTGATGACTTTGAAGGAAAAGTATTTACCCAGTTTCCTTTGTCTGAATAATGACGTATAGAGTGTAGCTTCAAGTACTGGAAAAAAAAAAAAAAAGGAATTGCAATACTGAAGTGTCAAAGGTGGCAGTCTAGCTGTAAACAAATTGTTCAGCTTCGCCATGTTATTTCTGAAAGTGTTATGTTCTTGCTCACAATTTACCTGAAACACCGTATT